TTTCTATTATTTATTTACTAGTTAAAATCTATCATATCATGTTACTCTAATGTGTTTTCGATTATAAAATTTGTTAACTACAATTATTCAATACTCAACTCATTTCTATCTTCTTATGTCGCCAGACACTTCTGTTCACAACCTAGTCCGATGATTCAAGAAATAGTTATTTATTATACAAACACACCTACTATATATGTTCAATTGGGAATTACTCACGATAGATTATAAAATGAAGATACAATCAGGCCAAAACCATAGATAATCTAAACATTATGAATGGAAATTGAGTGAGTAGTCCGATAGTCGAGACAATTGTCTTATACCTTTTGTTAATAGAAGCATAATTTTTAAACCAAAAAAAAAGAAGAAAACAGCATAAATCAGTTATCCAATTATTGTTTTTCAAAATACTGTTGTTAATTGCATGGGAAAGTTCTTGGGTCCACGTCGGCGAGTGAGAAGGGAATAATGACGAGTTACAAACCTCGGTTTCTGCGAAAGAACCTCTCCCCATAAGAAGACTTTGACTTTTGAGTTAATGTTATTTTTTTTATTTTTTTCAATGTGCCAACAGTAACATCATTATTATCTAGTTATTTTAAGCTCGTGGTAATAATTGTGACGTAATTTAATTATAATTAACAACAGCACACCTCGACGGTAATCTTGTGTGTGGTCCATGTTTACACATTTTAGGAGAGACAAAACTTCTATGTATTGTCCAAAACAGTTTTTGTTGAATTGTCTACATTTCAGCTTTTTTTTCTATTTTTTCTTTAGTAATCTCCAACCCACCTTTATTTTAGAGGTAAAAATAGAGATTATGCTCCAACCCACCTCTATTTTTATCTCTAAAATAAAGATTTCTATTTTTTCCTCCAAATATAGAGGGATTCTATTTTTTCTCTCTATAATAAAGGTAAACTTTTTTTTTTGTAAAGTATTCTTTTAACTTTTAAATCTTTCTATTTATGCAAAAAGTATATTTTTTATGAATATAAATGAGATAATTCTGGTTATAGTTTTAAAAAAATATATGATAATATTAAATATTAAAATTCTCATTGATATTAAACTACAAAAAAGTAATTGCAAATTAAAAATACATAAAAATAAACAAAAAAATAACAGAATTTAATTTTTTTTAATTTATGAATTCCAACTTCTAGTATTATTATAATATGTTGAAACTTTCATAAAAAAGTAACATAAATGGAATTAATTTAAAAATTTTAGTAGTTAAAGGTTACTATTACTATAATTTAAGAAAAAATTTTAAAAAGGTAAACTAAAAGATTAATTCACAAATATTATTTATCAAAGTTAGTATATTATAATTTATGTAAGTTTTTGTAAAAAAAATAAGTAGGGTCAATTCATAAATTTTATTAATACAAAGTGTTAAGAACAAATAACAAAAAAAATATATTGAAAATATTCCTTTTTAGAGGGAAAAATAGAGGTAACCATTGCAGACAAATGCACCTCTATTTTAAAGTTTTTCTATTTTAAAGGAAAAAATAGAGATAACCGAGATGGTTTAGTAACAATTAATAATCATCATTTCACGGTGATCTACTTATATTGTGTCTAATTATGAAATAATTAATTAGTGCCTTCTAAACTCTTATACTATATGTTATTTTCTGTAGTTTAAGAGTGTTTTTTGGGTATATAGTTTTAGACCATCTATGTCTTATTAAGTAAAGAGCAACCGGAATATTTAGTTTATGCCGAAGTATTTACAATTTACTCAGTTTACGTATATGCTAATTGGTCATTATGGCACAAATAAAATATATAAATCTTATACTTATATGTCAATTTATTTTAGAAGAAAACTACATATGTGTATTGTATACATACATATAACCATTCAATAACATTAGTAGATAAATCAAGCAGTGTTGGTTGGTTGGTTGAAAACCGTACTAACTTCATTAATTCTCGACATAGTGAATATATAATTAGAGCAAGTACCTATATTGTTTTGTTACTTATAAGATAGACAAAGCATCTATTTTACTCACTACATTTCTTATAACGTTGCTTTGTTTTTACAACACTTAAATCTAATGAATATAGGTCTACAGACAAATCCTCTTTACGCAATCCAAAGACCAGAGGCTTTTGTTAGTTTCTAGATTGCCACATTATGCAATGGATGAAGTTGGGAACATGCTTCAAACATGCCCAAAAAATTTAGCTGAATTATTCACCCTCTTTCTTAACTTTACACTTAGAAATATCATTCTCCGATTATTATATATATATATATATGTACATATGCTTTTTCTCAAATACATAATTGTTTAATAATTCGATGGTTGATATATTTGATGTTCTCACACTTGGTGTTATCTTCATGTACTATTTCAAAATGTTATTCTCGGTTGTTTTATTGTTTTACACTTTTTCTACAATACATCTATTGGAGAAGTGTTTGGAATAGGGTAGTTAGTTTTTTATGAGAATATGAATAAATGTTTAATCCAAAAAATGGAATGACGGAGGATCAAAGAAAATAAATCAGGAGGTGGCCATAACTATTATAAATGGTACTAAAGGCCAGCAATGACTTATGCTTTTTAGACTCAAGAGAAAAAACTCATCAGATGAGTGAAAAGTCGCTTCAGAAGCATAAGAGTGGCTTAAGTATAACGCAGTGGAAATAACCAAAAGGTCAAGTTTTATCCCGAACAAATATCAAATGAAATCTCCCTCACAACATGAACTTTCAAGTGTACATTGGTCTGTGGATGCAAAAAATGTAGCATAGGATGAATCCTGAGACATGAATGTAGAAAAATGAGATGGTTTTAAGGCTAAGTTGTCTTAGCCTAAGCTTTTTTTAGGCCTTAAAAGTGAAAGCATCAACCTTAACTCGGGACAATGTCTTGTGTTCACAACTTGGGTTTTTAATCAGCTTTGATTGTAAACCGATTTCAACGGTCTTTTGCAGACTATAAAAAAAAACCATTCTTATGGCCAAGGCTAAAGAGTTTCACGAGTGAGATCATAGGAAATATGAATGGTTTTCTGAAGTTGATCTTCAGTTTTTATTTGGGGCGAAGGAAACCAGTGTACGAGCATGATCACCAAAAAGACAGCTTTATGCCAAATTGATTTACATAATCATATCCCTCTTTGGTTAACTCCAATGGTGAAAAGGATATAATGAAGTATGTTTTGAGTACAAAAATAGTAATATTTCATGAAAAGGATGTTTGATACCAAGATATATTGTATTCAAACTCTTATTATAAGTTTATATCTCAACAAATATATTTGTTTAGTAGCCAAATTATAGGGTTTTAAATATAGTTTTATAATTTGATAGGAATTCAAATCTGCTTTGAAGTGAATGTATCTAATAAAATTTGATTTATGACCTTGAACAAAGTGAAACCACCTTACTGGAAGATCTCGTTTCATACTAGAGATCAAGAAAACAATACGTCTCACCTTCTAATAGTTTATTGTTCTCTTAGTTTGAAAATGGACAGAGATAATCGAAAGCAGAAGAGATCATGCAACTGGTCGGATCTCGTAAAGCATTTTCCTACCCTTATGGATAACGTTTTTCCTTCCTTTTTTGACATTCAAAAGACCCCTTACTGTTAAACAAAGAGCAAATATGACTTGCATTGTGTAACAAATTGTCAAAAGAGGAATCTTCCTTTTCTCTTCTTTTTTATACCCGTCGAACTAAATAAGTCTTGAGGCGTGACGAGTTATAATATAAAGTAATTCGATTTTCTCCATTTAGTTTTTCAGTTATTTTTACGGAGACCAATAACATTGCGGTGTAAAGTAGTTTAATCAAAAACGGTAAGAAGTGTTGACTAAAATGGTCAATTATTTAATGCCATACCACTTAACTGTCGTTAATTAGAGCTCACTTAATTATACTTGGTAAGATGTTTCCAAGTTCCGAAGAGTTGATAGTTTATTACTAGTACTAATATAGATTAGCTTAGATTAATCAGAGTTTGTTGTACAAATCGCGTGAAAAGTCATCTAATTTTTAATATATTTAGTCAGATAAACAAACCATTTTTTAAAAACTAAAGACAGCTTCGAGGGAATATATACACAGCTAAAACAGCTATCGTCACAAGGCAGTCACCAAAAATCTGGCACCGACCTGAAAACCGACTAAACACGTGGCGCTAATCTCGATCGTCAATTTTTTTTCAAAAGTAATCGAACGCCGCTGATTTACTACTTTTACCACCGAACGTCGCCGACTTCTTCGGCCTCCTGGCTTCCGACGGAATCTCCGGCGGCGTCAACGTGCGAATCAGTGCAAAATTCAAACCTTTGAAAAACGGTTGCACCTTAACCTCCGCCGCGCCTCGCCGTGACCCAAGCCGTTTGGTCGGATCTTTGTGAAGCAAACCCGAAATCAAACTCCGTGCGTGAAGCTCCAACATCGTCGCCGGCAAATCCGTCGGAAAACTCAAAGATCTCTTCACGATGTTACGGAGGATGACGTCATTGGTCGGCGCGGCGAACGGAGTCCGGCCGTATATCATCTCGTAGAGGAACACTCCAAAGGCCCACCAGTCAACAGCATTTCCATGGGACCCACCTGAGGCGACTTCTGGTGCCACGTACTCATGCGTACCGACGAAAGAACCGGACCGAGCGGTAACCGGTTCAGCAACAAAGAGACGGTTCGGTTCGAGCGTCTGGACCTTTTTGGACCGCAAAACGCGGTGGAAAAGCCTAGCGAGTCGAGTGAGCCGACGCGGGGAAGAACGGGGTTGGATTTCCGGCGACGATGAGGAAGATTCAACGGCTGCGATTGAGTCGGAGCATAAGGAGAGGTCAAAATCAGAGAGCATAATGTGACCGTCCGATCTAACTAAGATATTTTCAGGCTTCAGATCTCTGTAGATTATTCCCAACATGTGTAGATATTCTAACGCAACCAAAACTTCAGCCGCGTAAAATCTGTATCATTTCAAACACAGAAAAATAAAAATCAATTTACAAAACATGTAAAAATTATTTATCTAAAAATACTTAATAGCTAAAATAATAATTAATGTTTAATGTGATGAGTTGAAAAAGACTCTGGTAAACAAATTCAAATAACTGGAAAAGACCGACATGATAAGAACAGGTCAGTTCTTGCAGAGGAAGATACCAAAAGATGTACAGAGTCAATGCATGCAAATTCGTATACATTGTCCATTTTTTAAATAATTTTCCAAAATCTGACGTTTTCTGCAATTAATTTTTTTTATATAATAACAACAAAAAAAATTAAAAAAAATTTACCTAGCGGAGGAAAGGGAAAATCTGCGGTGAGGCTGTTTGTGACGGAGAGAGTGCAAATCTCCACCGGAGCAATACTCCATGACGATGCAAGAAAAATGTGAGGCTTCAAACTCGGCGTAAAGAGTCGGCAAAAAAGGATGGTCAAGCATCTTCAAGATCGTCTTCTCCATCTCAGCTCTGTGCATCTTCTTCTTCATCGCAAGCGCTTCTTTATCCACAACTTTCATCGCGAAATACGAGCTCCGGCTCTCTTCTTCGTCTCCACCGGCGAGACGGCATAAGTATACTGTACCGATGTCTCCGGCGCCGATTCGACGCATGAGGCGAAAATCTCGGAAGGTTAGGCCGTGTTTTCGTCGCCGTCGGATCTCTGAGTAAGCGAAGTCGGAAGATCGGTGAGGTTTAAGAGAGAGGAAACTTTCTTCTTCAGGGATAATCGCGGTGGTTGACGGCGGAGTATCGAAAGATAACCGGCTGAAGCTGCTGCAACTCTCTGTTCCGCTGCTTATCGGCGAGTTCGTCGTCTCTAAGCTCATCTCGCCGTCTGATTCCCGTAACATCGCCGGAAATTAACTTGAAGTCGAGAGAAATTTTAGAGAAATGAGTGTACAAAAGTTGGAATCTGAAAAAACAGAATCAAGAGAAGACAATTGACAGAGATGCAACAGAATCGCACATTGATTTCGAGGAAATCTTGAGCAGGCTTTTCTCGAGAAACGTAAGGGTTTATGAAGAAGAAGAAGAAGAAGAAGAAGAAGAAGAAGAAGAAGGTATTGAAGTTGAGAGAGAAGGAAAGAAGAAGAAGGAGAGTTTGGGTTTAGAGAGAGGCGAGAGAGTTGGTGAGGGGTATTTATGCGTGGTGAGGTTAGAATTAAAAAAAAAGGCGTAACAGTAAAAAGACGTTGCAGAAGCAATTTTCTTTTTAACTGTGGTTAACAAATATATACTGTGTTCACTTGATTGCACTTTTCAACGCATGTGAGAGGAGCTGCAGAAGAAATAACAGAGATGAGATGAGAGCAAAGAGACCTTGATGACGTAAGCGACGTTATTACGTGTGAGATGTTGTCACGTGCCTCAAGATGCAGCAGTAGTAGCTTCCTTTCTCCCATTATTTATCTCTACTACTACTTCCTCCAAAATAGGGTGCGAAACTCGTGAAGTTTGACTTTTATACTATAGAATCATAACAGTATATGCATTAGTTCTTGAAATTTGAGATGGTTTTTGTTAATGGGTTTTTAATCTTCCAACAAAAAAAATATATTATGTGGATATGAAATCGGAAAATAACACGGCAAAAACAGTAACACAAACTCCACATTTACATGTCAAGGTTGTTTCTAATGATTCGATATGAATATTTATAATATACTGACTATGGGACATGTACCTAATGATCATTAAAGACGATCCAAATGCTGGAAGGGACCCAACCTATATACTAGGATGTTTGTTGGCTTTGTGTGGCTTCATATTGTGATACGTTCCATATTTGGATTTGAGCCTCAAACATTTGTTTTTATGTTAAGTTCGGGTTTGGTTAATCCCTCCAATTAATGTAAATATGCGATCTCATCTATCTATCTTTTTATTTTTACTTTTTTTTAATTTAGTTCCATGCACCTCTATAATACTTTTACCATGTTGTATCTTTCTATTATTAAAATGATTTTTTTTTATTATGCTAGACTTACTACTACTCTCAAATCTTGCGGATTGATCACTGTGACAAACTTTTTGTTCTTCAATTTACATTACTTGTATTTTTTTCCAATAACTTGCTTTGATCTACACTTTTAATCTCGTTAGCTTGTTTAATCTATTATATAAAGATTCAGTTGAGTCTCACAAACTTGACACATCAACACTCCTTTGAATGACACATCAACTTATTTATTTTTTCTTTAAAAACTTTAATGAAACTCTAATTAATTTAAGCTAATTACTTTTATGTTCATTTTTCTGTGCACTGATTTATTTACCATCATGGCCTCATGGCTTTTTGACTCCCATTTTTGATGCTTTCTATTCTTAATGATGTTTTAAACGTTGTCTAAAATATTGGTCACTCATGTTTCAACGCATAAAAATAATCAGCAAATATAGAGGAGAAGACATGGAAAGAAGTAAATATTACCTAAGATTTTCTAATAAATCTCTAATCTACAGCTTCCACGTTGTAACTTATACAAATTTCTATACAGAAGCTTACTAAAGTGAATGTTGTTCACAAATCCACGGTCTAAGATTTATTTTTTGGTCATGGGCAGAGACATCTACATTTAATACCATCGTTTGTGTTCATTTAAAGGAAAAGAAAATTTTGCTTTTAAAAAGAAGATTTTGTATGATGGTTTCGAGAATTCTGTGAAGAGTAAATAGCAAGACAAAGCTATAATAATAATTTCTAAAATAATAATAATTCGGCGACGAAGCTATAATAATAATTTCTAAAAACTTTGTTTTAAGTTAAGCTGGTGTAAGTTATCTATTCTATTAATTTTTGTTTTAGAGAAAATTTTAAGGGGGAAAATAATACTCTGAAAGACCTATTACATCTATTAGTAAATTTTTTAATATCTATGTTTTTATAAAAAATGATAAAAATCTCGTCTCAATGAATTATAATTAAAGAAATCTTTGTGGAGAAAAGATAAATATAATTTATATCATTTTATGTGCATGAAATGTAGCTTGTTTCATCTCCATCAGATCTTGGAGTTGGAGTATTGGTTCTCCCAAGTACTGCAATAAAAAGCCATTGGAGCGGCAAAAGCCAAATCCGATGGTGAAAATGGAGAAAGACGTATTTGGTAAGCTTTTACGATAACTGGTCATGCTTATCTCAAGTTCCAAACTCTACCTGTGATGCAAAAGATAATATATAGTATGAAATATCACAGATTTTCATGCTATATTCATTTCCTAACTTTTCTAATTTTAGTGGAGATTGTGACGGTTTTGCTAATGGGAATATAAAAATTTTATGGAATAAAGTTATCCATTTATTTTGAGAATATACTTCTTAGGTTCCTAATCATAATATTTAGTATTTGCTGGATTCTCATATCTTTGTTTATGATGTTCAAGATAATTTTTCACGTTTAATTGAAGACAACGTTTTTTAGTAGAAAAAATTTCTGATAAGATTTCATAAAACCCAAAAAAAAAGTCGAGAAAAAACTAATTAAAACAAAATCACTTTAACAAAACAAGTTAACAACTAATCTCTCTAATTAAATACAAATTAGAGAGATACCTAGAACAGTTTGGTTACCCAAACCGAAGATATCAAGTTTATGTAAATAATAATTTGTACGTGGACACAAGCGCTTCTTGCTAGAATGTTTGCCTTCGAATTCTTCACGCGTGAAATGTGTGATATAATGAAGGAATTGTAAACTGAAATTTAAAGATAAAACTAAACTTCAGTTTTAAATATTATAAAAATATTAAAAAGAAAACTCACGCATATGTGTGGGTACTCATCTAGTTATACAATAAAAGTATCCTTACACTACAATAATTGTTAGGTTATTCAATTACTGAAATGAGCTAAAATAATGAATCACACACACCACTTAGAAGAAGTGTACAAAAAGTATTATTGTGTAGAACCTGAATGAATGGGAAATAGAAGGGAAACGTAGCTTAATTTTCATGCACAATAATTTTTATTTTTATTTGTTTCTGTTTCATAAGTCTTGAGAAATTGGACAAACATAAATATGCACAACGCTTATGATTCGTTTGGCGCATTTACATATAGTCCTTTCGTTGGCTACCCTGAAAATACGTTTTTATAAAAAAATCAAGAATAATACTTCGTATGTTGTTTTAATGTTGAAATACAAATACTTGTATTCCTAAATCATCGACTAAAATGAATACAAGTATTGAATCTTGCTTTTTTGTTTTTTTTTGTTAAAGGGATTGATTCTTGCTTGTCTACATAATTCCAAATCTCTTCTAACATCATGCGTGAAATTTATAACATGCATATGCGAGATATAATGTTTTTTCTATCTATTCCAAAGTTAATCCCATTTTATGATTGATTTAATTAATATTGTAGTGAGAAAAAATGTACAACCACATTTAATATTCCTTAAGCTTATTCTTATATATACCTTAATCACATATAGTAACATCTTTACTCTGTTCAATGGTTTTCTTTTACTAAGTAGTGAAAATTAGGAGAAAATTGCATTGAAATGTGAAGAAAATGTTTTGATTGTTTCATTGTTTGGTGGAAGAGGGATAAAGTCGTAATCTACCAGCTAGAGAGGCAAGAGACCAAACATAACTGACGTCTGGACTCTGTTTTAATAAACCCCTAGAAAGATATTCCTTTCCTCGTTGGTTCCTAAAGACAATAACTGTTCCGTTACTATCTATCTTCTCAAACTCTTAGCCAAGTGTTTGGCCACCTGTTTAACTATATTCTAACCTTGTATCAGCTAAAAACAACATCGGAATGACTTCTGTCTTGTACGTACTGTATCTTGTGGGGTCCACGATTTGTACGGATCGATTCCGACGTCACTCCAATTACTTCTCACTCGAATCTGTTGTTAAGCCTAACAGATGATTTAATCCGTTTGTGTTTGTTTTAGAAACGTAATATATTCTATAAACGTGAAATGGATAATGTATACGAAGATATTAAAGAAATAAAAAATGGATCCATTATTGAGAATATTAAAGATAGGATCGTTGAGATATAATGACATTAACTAAAACAAAACAATGTAATTAATCAAAGCATAGGATGTGATGAAGACAGGCGGCAACATTTAGGAATCGTATGGTCCCTTCCTCTCTGACGCTACAGCTTTTGGGTCCAAACATAAATTGGAAACTAATAAACGATTTCTTTGGATTTTTTTTTTTTTGAAAGAAAACGATTTCTTTGGTTCCTCAGGCTCTACCTAATAAGAACAAATGCAAATAAATCCACGTACTATTATTTGTTGAAGTTGGAAACTAATAAGGACAAATGCAAATAAATCCATGTAAAGACACTGGTTACAAAAACTGTAAATAAAACCCATGAACTTGCAAATTTGGGCTGATTTTCTCTAATGTTTGTTTCCATCCACCAGGTGGATTCCACCTTAATGTTACGTAATGCAGCGTATTTTAAATAATAAAAATATACATTCCATCTATTTTTATATGTGTTTTCTTAAACTTATATTTACTTTTCAGTCTATTAGTATTTTTACCTAAAAAACCATAAAACATCGGGCGTATATAATGATAGGGTTAGTGGGTTTAGTACAACATAGAAAACTCAAAATTTCAAATACTTGTAATTTACGGATAAATGTAATTTCCTTCTGGCATAAATAATGTGTATTTTGCTTTTTCACTTTCGCCCAAACACACCCATCAAATATACTTTCGGAGAACTACTAAAACCCTCCAAGTTTTGTTAACATACGCTAAAATGCTATTTAGATTCTTGAAATGGAAAGTTCCCTAAAACTAATCTATTGGAAATAAAATTTGTAGGGAAGCAATTGGAATTGGAATATACAAGAAGCAAGGACCTACGAATTAGTTAGAGAAAGTTGAGTGCCATGGAAAAAGTGCAGCAGAAAGTGTAGCAAAAATTGATATTTTTATACTAGAAGAGCTGTTTCTTATCGCTATAAGTAATTATTATATACATTTATCATGAATATGCAAACAATAATTATATACATTAATAGATGCATCATACAAGGATATATAAAAATACGAATACACCTGCATAGATACTTTATCATATGTACACTTCAGTGTCATATTC